CTAGCCAAGTAACTTACAAACTTTCTGTAACTCTGCCTCTTAAGTAAATAAATAAATCTTTAAAAAATTCTGCAAATATTTAAAAAAAAAAAGACTGACCTCCCTCAATTTGCAGAATAAAGTCACTGCTACCAGATTAGAGATGATACAGGAATTTGAACAGCACAATTATTACATTATACATAGAAAACTGACCAATAGCTGTGAGCCAAGAGTCAATGGCCTGTGACACTACCACTCAGATCCTCAAGAAGTTGATAATTTCAGCCCATCCTCATTTAGACAGGAAAAGGAGTAAAAGCAGGAGCTCCATGACATGATCATGTTTGTCTCTTTGCCTAGTTTGTGGAAGAATCCAAATTAAAAAAATAAATGAATAAATAAAGTTTTGTTCAATTTACACAAATAATTGGATGGAGTGATGAATCGATAAATTTCAGTAACTGGGTATAGAATTACCAGTTAGTTCAATTTTAAATATTCACATGCATTTCAGACAGCACTCACTCTGTTTTCCAGCCATATTAATCAACTTAATGTATTAGAATATTTTTCCTTATTGTGAAATATGATCCATTGATGGACCAAAATTAACTTAGTAGGTAAGGTCAATCATCATTTTAAAGGATTAAAATCCTTTTTTTCAGGAGTATTAATACATATGAATGTATTATGCATTATGTACATATGTATGTACATAATATTATGTATTATGTTAAAAAGAGTCCCTGGGGTTTTTTTTTTTTTTTTCCCTAAATATTTGTAAGAAAGACTCTGGAACCACAATTTAATTATGAGAATTAATAAATAATAAATTTCACAATTTCCAAAAATTATTTCCACATTTTGCCAGTTATAGTATGTTGCTTTGAAATGTATATCTGTCAAACCAAGAATTAATAAGGAATTGGAGTATTATGTGGGTATCTCATGTAGTTAGACAAGTTCTGTTGTATACTCTGTGTCACAGGAGGCTGATTTTCCAGTAAATATATGGGTCATCCTCACTGCTTCCTAATGGAGGTCTGCATTGCTTTATGGGAAATGTAGCCTCATCTGCCCATGATGTCAGTAGGACAGAACCATGGAAACTCTCCTCTGGCTTCCTTCTTAGTGTGTGCCGTTCCAACCACTACCACCATCCCCATAGAATTCCTGGTGCTGGGCTTCCCTCCTATTACTCAAGAACTGTGTGGGTGATTTCTGTGTCTGTGAATGTCAGTGTGGAGGTATAAGGGAACTTGGGGAGCAATACAGGTGCCTGTCTCTTGCTGGCATAAGTGACAGTCATGGATCTGAGGTGTTAGAATCTGTCATTCAGATCCACCGTAAAGATCTTGGCTGGTCCAGGAAGAGACACCAGTGGTAAATCCTCAGTTCTAGAGCTGGAGAAAGAGTGAATAAGGTTGGGCTTTCAAGGATTGTTTTTTTGTCAAATGATGCAGTGTGACTCCAGGTGTACAGAAGGTAGTTCCAAAGTTACTACAGACAATCTGTCTCAGCCAAGATGGCCACAGGATGGAGATGGGTTTTCAGACCATTTTAGCTGAAATGTGTATGGGCTAACTGAATGTAGATTGTACCCCTGTCACTGTTTACCAATCTGTAAGATGAAGTATATTAGTAGTACTAGTGAAATGTCCCCACATTTCCTGAGAAACCATTGTGAGATATGTGCAGGCTGACTTACACTATGTGACAGTTGCATTTGTGGGGCTTATGGTATATCTTCTCCAAATGAATTTTCTAGTTTCCTGCACTGTGTAGACTGAGCAGCACTACTCATGTGAGGCTATGGAAGTTTATACAACACCTAGTTTCTAGCAACATGGACTTTTGGGTCCTGGCTGACAGTCCCATTTCCTTTGGAAGTGAGTAGCTTTTATGATACTTGAAGAAGGGAACTCCAGGAATAAGAATCATTTCTGACAGAATATCACTTGATGCTCTCTGAGACAATACCTTACTACTTCAGAGCACAGCAAAACATCACTGAAATGCAAAGATCCTAGATTTGCATGATCCTAGCAGTTATTAATCATACTGACCAGAATGAATACGATTTAGTTGATATTACCTTACCTCATCCATAAGTTATGGAAGACTGGTGATATTGGCAGTTCTGGACCAGCCTTCAAAAAAAAGTTGTGTATGGATTAGAAAGAAGGCAAGGGCATAGCAGATGTTTCTTAAATGGTCTTGAGGATGTGGCCTGTGGTGGAGGGACAACCCCTCATGTCTGAGAGTCACTGTCTACATTGCTTTCTACCACCTGCCCATTACTTCATTCTGCTATCATGTTTTTCAGAAATGGGGGTCTGTGAAACCTAGTCTGCCATACACTTGGTATCTAGAGCCATGCTGCTGCCCTCTATATTCTAGGAATTCATCCTGGTAGCTCAAGGAATGTCTGTGAGGGTCTCTGCATGTAAAAAGATGAAATAAATTATATTTCAGGAGATAGATGGATTGAGTAGTGTCAGATGATTTGTAGATGCCTGGCATCCTAACTTTTGGATGGTGATTTCTATTTTGCTACACTTAATTAAAAAACACATTTATTGGGGCCAGCACTGTGCAATAGCGGATAAAGCTGCCACCTGCAGTGCCAGTATCCCATATGGGCACTGGTTCAAGTCCCAGCTGCTCTACTTCTGATCCAGCTTTCTGATATGACCTGGGAAAGCAGTGGAAGATAGGCCAAGGCCTTGGGCCCCTTTGCCCATGTGGGAGACCTGGAAGAAGCTCCTGGCTCCTGGCTCTTGGCTTTGGATGAGCACAGCTCCAGGCATTGCAGCCATGTGGGGAGTGAACCAACAGATGGAAGACTCTCTCTCTCTGCCTCTCCTTCTGTCTAACACTGACTTTCAAATAAATAAATAAATCTGTTAAAAAAAGAAAGCTTTGATTTTTCAGATTACTTTCAGAAACTCACCAATTTCAAATAAGTATTTCTTTAGAAGACTGCCCTGAGCATGCCTTTCCTTTTGATCTTGATGTTATGTATGGATTGTGTGACATTAAAGGCGTATCAAAATTTTCCCACTCACTTTCAGTAATTTCTTCTTGAAAGTCTTGACCAATATTTAGTATTCATGCCGCTTCAGAAAATTACTGTGAGCTTTTTCCTATTTTCTGAATAGTAAAACTACGCTGACTCAGACTTCATGTGCTAATAAGTTTCTTAAAATATAACAAAAATATGACCACATATAAGCAGAAATGTGAAACATAAAGTTATGATCTCCAATGAATTCATTTGTGTGAATTTAAAAGTCAGAGTTACACACAGAGAGAGGGAGAGGCAGGGAGAGAGAAGATCTTCCATCCACTGGTTCACCCCAGATGGCCACAGTGGCTGGAGCTGTCCCAATCTGAAGCCAGGAGCCAGGAGCTTCTTCTGGGTCTCCCATGTGGGTGCAGGAGCCCAAGGATGCATCTCTGTTACTTTTCATATTTTGTTTTGAGTGAAATGGGAAAATGTTTTTATAGCTTAGTTTTCTTGGAGAAAATAAAGTTGGTATAATGGAATCTAAAATTTCCAGCAAAAATGGCTAGATTTCATTAGAAAATGTATCTTGTTTTATGCTTTTACATAATAGCATTCTAGTGGTAGTTATTATGGGTAAAGATTCCTTGTATTTTCAAAAGTTAATATCTACATGGTTCACAGATATTTTGCCCTCTTCCTCCCTTCTCCATTACCTTTTGAATTGAGGTTAAAACTTTCAAGGGGCACAAAAATTAAGTTGCATATTCAGTTGGTTCAAAAAATATTGTTGAGTACAAATATTGACGGTTTTTGTTAATCTTTTCCTGGAAAATGTGTCATAAATACAATAATAACACTTGGTAGCTATAAAAATAATTTCAAACACAGTAAATCAGAAAAGGCCCATGTGGTTTTTGCTGCTATTGAATTTGCTTTAGGATATCTCCTGTGGTGGTTACGATTTATGGAATGCTGTCAATATTATTGAGCACTTAACATCAAGCCATATGCTTTTCAGACACTCCTGTTTAATCCCCAACACACTCCTGGGAAATGGGTACTATCCCCATTTTATAGATGGAAATTACCACTTATGGAATGCCTATCATGTGGATAGGCTTTTTTGCATAGCTTCATTTCTCACCTTCAATAATTTTTCTGGATGTGGAAAAGATTGAGTGTCATGGGTCAGAGACTCACTCCAGCCTGACTTCACAAATTCTGTAAGGTTTTCATTGCATTTTGACCATGTTCCTGTTTACAAAGTGCCAATTACATTTTTAATTGGGGAGGCTGTATCTTGAGCAGTAGTCTAATGGCATTCAACCAGGACCACCACTGCTTCTAGGATCCCTAGGAGAGCTGTGAAATAAGCAATCTGCTTGTCTTCAACCATGGGCATCTACAGGATGCGGTTAGTCATTATGGGAAAGGTTCATTCTCTTGCATTTTTCTCCCCCTTTACTACTTCCTCTAACAGTGTTGTTTATCTTTATTATGATTCTCTGTATTTCTGACAGCTATCTTACCCTTGTGCTTAAGATGTTTTTTTTTTAATAAAAAAGTGAGGCATGTAAATTTCCTAACATAATTGACAGTAGTTTGTAAAGAAGTTAAGAGGTCTTTGTGTCCAGTTTTCAGATCATCTTTCTTTGCTCTAGAGAGTGAAATATTAAACTGATCTTGGGGCCAAAAAAAAGAGAGAGAGAGAGAGAAAGAAAGAAAGATTCAATATTGTCCTCCTTTCAGCCTGGGTGCAATTCCCCTTGAAATACATGGCCCTTTGTGACCTGAAACCCATGTTTTCTTCCAGTTGGGGCATTTTTCACAGCCTGTAGGCCATAGGTTTGACTCCCTGCTGAGTGCTTCTGTGTGGCTGTCCAAATGCTCAACAAGTCTAAAATGAAAGCACATCCTTCCCTCTTCCTTCATACCCATCTGTAAGGTAAAAACCACCAGTATTTGTTTTGTGACAGTTGATCTGTTGACCACTAGTGTTCTACTACAGGTGATGATAACGTTTGAAGATCTGGCTGTTTACTTTACCTGGGAGGAATGGCAGCACATGAACAAAGCTCAGAAAATCCTGCACAGGGATGTGATGCTGGAGACCTACAGCAGCCTGCTCTTCTTGGGTGAGTGGCACCCATCACATGTCTAATGAACACATTGTCTTGCTATTTGAAAAATAAGTGAAGACTTTATAAAGTTTAATCATGTGCAGTTAGAGAATTTGTGTCCATGAATAATCCTACTGTGTATCATCTAGGAAAGGATCCAAATTGGAACATTTGTTGCATAGCTCCTGAAATAAGCTGTTTTCCTTTAAATAACCCAAGATAGTGATTTCACAAAGTCTTACATTGTTTGCATTAATAGGACACTGCATTACCAAACCCGATTTGATCTTTAAGTTGGAGCAAGGAGCAGAGCCATGGATGGTGAACGAATTCCTAAATCAGAACCTTCCAGGTCAGTACGTACTTAATGGTGAGGGAGACCAAGGCAGAAAGATTGCAACAGATGTTCACTGATGCTCTTTCCATGACTTTTTCCCAAGTGTTACTCCTGATGATATCTGGTTTTGTGCATCAGACAAGGGATTCTAGAGTATCTAGGGATGCCATTTGATCTCTAAATCTCTGTGTTCTTGATAAAGGCATCCTTTCATTAAAAAAAAAAAAGTTCCAATCCTTTTCTGATGTTACTAAGGTTTTTTTCTAGGTTAGATACATTCCCCAAATTCTCTATATTTAATACCTTTTCCCTCATGCATTTATTCTTTTCTTCATTTCTTGTTAGTTGGGCAAGTTAGAAAAACTTCTTTCACATGAGTTACCACTCATGGTTTTGGCCAGGCACAGAACTTGCTATTTTATGGATCTCATGACTGAACCAATAAATCTTATCTCTGTCTCTCTCTTTTCTCTTTCTCTGTGCTTTTCCAAATAAAATAAGAAAAAAGTAGGTTGTTAAAAACATTTGAGGAGAGAGCCTGTGGTTGGCAACCTTCTGTTTCATTCTCTCTGTGTGTCTCATTCTCCATCTCTCTGACTCTCAAGGATGTAAATAAATAAGGGAATGCTAAGAGATGGTCAGAAGTAAGCCTCTGTGCTGTGACATCAGAAGTCCTGAAGTAAGCAGGAACTTTTATAGAAACATGAAAATAAGTGATCCTAAACCCACCAAGAAAGTCTTGAGATTCTGAATCCCAAGGTCAAGTAACCTCATGGTTTTATGTTGATTGTCTCAAATATGTAGTTTGAAGTATGAATTCTGTCTCAAAGAAAAAAAGATAAGATAGGAATAGGAAATTAAGATTTCTTTGAATATAAGAGACAGCTGATCAAAAGCCTCCAGAAACTCAAATTATCACATATGAGTGTTAATAGAAAAACCTGAGGGGAGATAACCAAGACTAGTGATTTCAGAATGAGCTAGAAAATGTATTTCAAAGAAGGCAAACACACTCTGGGTTGCAAAAATAAATTGTTTCAGCTGTTAGAGAGTGTATACCCAAGGTGGTATATTGCAATGTTTCTGTACCTGTTGTAGTTCTGAGAAGCTGAAGATGTTAGATTTCCTTATGAATATGGGGAAGCTATCATGGAGTGCGGATAAAAGCAGAGTTTCTCATTTGAAAAATCCACAAGTGTTCCCCTGGAAAGACTGATCATGAGAAAACTATAGATTCAAATCTTGGTCCTTACATGTGATACTGTTTAGAGTACAGACACATTTCACTCTTCTGCACCTGCAAGAAAATGATCCAGTAAAGCATTCCCATATTTATGTTTGAAATATCAGAGAGCACACAACATAAACTTTTTAATAAAATTAATTAAAGAAGAAGGAAAGGTAAAAAAGTGTTTGTTAGGCAATGGGGGAATATATTTACTAAATATTTATCCATTCTTTAAAATCTTATAGTTGTCTCATCATTGTTAAGGGTAGAATGACAATGAGAAGAGAAAGATCATTTATTAGCTCATTTACCCAATGCTTGCAACAGTGAGATCTGACTAGTCTGAAGCCAAAAGGCTGGAACTTCATCTAGTCTAACCTGATTTATCACAGGTCCCAAGCCCATGAATCATTATTTGCTGCCTTCTCATTTATATATGCAAGAGCTTTAATGGAATCAGAGTAGCCAGGGCTCAAAGTGGCACTATGTTGGGATGCAGGCACCCTAAGCAGTGAATTAACAAATCTAACCAGGAAAGCCATTTGCCATACTTGAATAAAATTAAAGTACTAAAAGATTGTACAGAGAAATCTATTGGTACAACCTAATATATCAATGTCTTAAGGGAAAAAAAACAAGCATAATGAGTGTCAATAAGTGTCTTCTACTGATTAGGTTACAATCTTCATTCCCCTTACATCAGTATTCCAGAAGAAAGTAATTATATGTGATTCAGTGATTTTTTTTGTCTCATTTCAGTTGCCATGAAGAGTGATGACATTATTAGGACCAACCAGGAAATTCGAGAAAAAAATGTTAAGCAGAATGTTATTACAAATAATAAGACATCAACTCCCAGAAGAGTTGAATTAAATAAAAGACTTAATTTAAATTCAAGTCATGTTTCAAAGCTGATTAACAAAAAAAGAAATTATTCATCAATGAAACCTGAGGAATACAACGTGTGTCACAATGTGTATCCCAATTGTGGGACTGATCAGCTGCAAGCTAGAGAGAAACTTGATGCCGCTAAGGTACCTGGGAACTCTGCCCAGTGCTGTGAGCCTCTTAGTGAGTATCACAAGATTCAGACTGTGAAGCCTTCATTGGAACATAGTGGACAAGGGAAAGACTTCAAAAGGAAGAAGATATTCTTTAGATTTGGAACGGTCCATATGGGAGACTCCTGTAATAAGTCAACTGTCACTGTTGGAAAGACAACTCAAATAGAAAAAACTCTTCATAAAAATGCTAACCTCAGTAAGCATCAACAAATCAACACAGGAGAGGAACTCTATGAAGATATGGGATATGTGGAACCTCTTCTTTACAAATCAGATCTTTTAATAAATCAGAGACAACATATACAGAAAAAACCCTACGCATGTAAGCCTCGTGGAAAATCCTTCAGGTCTAAGTCCTGCCATACCATCATTCACAGTACTTCCTTACAGGAAAACTCACAAGAGTGTAATGAATGTGGAAAAGCCATATACCCGAAGGTAGATGATATTAGACATCAGGAAGTTCATACAGAGGACAAACCTAATGAATGTAAAGACTGTGGGAAAGCCTTTGGCAAGAAGTCACATCTTGTAATGCATCGGAGAATTCACACAGGGGAGAAACCTTATGAATGTAATGAATGTGGAAAAGCTTTTGGCAAGAAGTCATATCTCATAATTCATCACAGAATTCACACAGGGGAGAAACCTTATGAGTGCAATGGCTGTGGAAAAGCCTTTGGACGAAAGGCACAACTCATAATGCATCAGAGAATTCACACAGGAGAGAAACCTTATGAGTGCAATGGCTGTGGAAAAGCCTTCAGCAGTAAGTCACAACTCAAAATCCATCAGAGAATTCACACAGGGGAGAAACCTTATGAATGTAATGACTGTGGAAAAGCCTTTGGCATGAAGTCACATCTCATAACCCATCAAAGAACTCACACAGGGGAGAAACCTTATGAATGTCATGACTGTGGGAAAGCCTTTGGCTACAAGTCACAGCTCAATATCCATCATAGAATTCACACAGGGGAGAAACCTTATGAATGTAATGACTGTGGAAAGGCCTTCAACAGTAAGTCACAACTCAAAGTCCATCAGAGAATTCACACAGGGGAGAAACCTTATGAATGTAATGACTGTGGAAAAGCCTTAAGCAGTAAGACACAACTCAAAATCCATGAGAGAATTCACACAGGGGAGAAACCTTATGAATGTAATGACTGTGGAAAAGCCTTCAGCAGTAAGTCACAACTCAAAATCCATCATAGAATTCACACAGGGGAGAAACCTTATGAATGTAATGAATGTGGAAAAGCTTTTGGCAAGAAGTCACATGTCATAATGCATCACAGAATTCACACAGGGGAGAAACCTTATGAATGTAATGACTGTGGAAAAGCCTATGGCAATAAATCACATCTCATAGTCCATCAAAGAATTCATACAGGGGAGAAACCTTATGAATGTAATGATTGTGGAAAAGCATTTGTCCAAATGTCAGACCTGAAGAAACATCAGAGAATTCACACAGGAGAGAAACCTTATGAGTGCAATGATTGTGGGAAAACCTTTGGTCAGAAGTCACAACTCATAGTTCACCAGAGAATTCACACAGGAGAATAACCTCATGAATGTTATGACTACAGAAAAGCTTTTTGCTGTAAATCACAACTCATAACACCTGAAAGCTTCTTTAATAAGGCTGGGTGAGTGTTGACAAATTCAGTTTCTTTTTGTTTGATAGGTCTTTACTTCACATTCAACATAAATGAGTACTTTGCAGTGTATAGTATTCTCAGTGGACTGATTTTTTTTTTCTCTTAAGATTCACGCTATGTCTCTCCATTCTCTCATAGATCATAAACATTCTAATGAGAAGTCGCCTGTGAATCTAGTTGGAAATCCTTTGAAATTTAACTGACATTTCTGTATTGCACATTTTGGAATTTTTTGTTTTACTGTTAAAAGTTTGCAGTATCTTCTGGCAGCCTAGAAAGGCCTTCTCATGAACCTGAGCTGGTGAATCAAGGGAACATAAGGTTACATTTCCTACATGACACTGTAGCCATCCATAATTGAACAAGGAGGATGATCCCTATATTTTCTTTGCAGACAGCCCATCTTCCTGGAAAGCAGAGAGGATACAGCACAACTCTTGGGCAATTCTAACTTTTTTATTAATGTGTGGTTTAGTAAGTTCATATTTGAAATAAATGTGCTATGAATGAATACATTCAAATATAGAAAGAACATTTTGTATTTTCACTGACTTTACTTCTATATAGTTTTGATAATTATACTGTGGTTTGAAAACTCACACCAGATTATTGCTGATAATTATTGAGAGAAATGCTTGTTTGATGGATAGAACTGGGAATGCATGGAGACTGTACTGCAGATCCTTCAGTAAATCTCCATATATATTTTTTTTTTTTTGACAGGCAGAGCAGATAGTGAGAGAGAGAGACACAGAGAAAGGTCTTCCTTTTGCCATTGGTTCACCCTCCAATGACCACCACAGCTGGCGTGCTGTGGCCAGCGCACCGGGCTGATGCGAAGGGAGGAGCCAGGTGCTTCTCCTGGTCTCCCATGGGTGCAGGGCCCAAGCACTTGGGCCATCTTCCACTGCCTTCCCGGGCCACAGCTGAGAGCTGGCCTGGAAGAGGGGCAACCAGGAAAGAATCTGGTACCCTGACCGGGACTAGAACCCAGTGTACCGGCGCTGCTAGGTGGAGGATTAGCCTATTGAGTTGCTGCGCCGGCCATATATTTCCATATGTGCAAGTTATGCTGCCAACTGTCCAAGATATATTTTCAAGAGAATATTTGCGTTTCTTTTTTTCTTTAACCAACTCAATATAGACTCACTTTAGCATTTCAGAAATTTACCAATACCTAATTTCTAGTCAAATTTAAAGACTACTACCCTTTGGACGTGAATTACACAGAGAGAGGAGAGTCAGAGAGTGAATGAAGTCTTCCATCTGCTGGTTCACTCCCTAGGTGGCCGGAACAGCCAGAGTTGCACTGATCCGGTCCAGGCTTTAGCAGTTTCTTCCTGGTCTCCCAAGTGGGTGCAGGGGTCTGAGGTCTTGGACCATCTTGTACTGCTTTCCTAAGTGATAGCAGAAAGCTGGAATGGAAGTGGAGAAGCCAGGTCTGGAACTGACACCCATATGGGATGCCAGCGCTTCAGGCCAGGGCATTAACCCACTGAGCCACAGCGCCAGCCTCACTTGAATGTATTTTTAATTTTTTATATATTTGAGAGCTAGAGAGACAGATTGACCAAGTGAGAGAGACAGGCATGTACAAACAGTTCTCATCTACTCCTCACTCCCTAAATGCCCAGAGCAGCTGGAATTAGATGAATACTGGCCCAAGTCACCCAAATTGGGGCACACTCTGCTAGACTACAATGGTCTACATGATCAGGAAAGTGTAGTGAGGAGGTGGAAGAGGGAATCAAACAAAACCTCTCTGATGTGGAACCAGGGCAGCTTAACTAGCATCTTAACTACTATGCTACATGCTTGTCCCATTTTAAACTCTTTTTGCCATTTTTGCAACTACTGTCCATGATTTTCTCTTGGCAATTCTTCTTCATTAGTTTCTACCAAGAACTAACTGGTGTTATGCTCTTCCATGGACTCCTCAGCGACCTTCATTATATGACCCACCTAATGCTATATGTAGTTTCTCATTCATTCCACCCCCTAATTCACCATGACTGATTTGGCCATCTGTTGCTCCAAAGAATATTGTAAATTCACCTTTTTTGTACCAGAAATTTTGCTTCTTCCCAAAGCTAAATTTAGGATGTGTTAGCACAATGATGAGACTGAATCTATTTTGGGCTATGCTAGTAGCCAGAAAGTGTGATAACAGCCCTGGGAGTGAAAGAATTTATGAGTTAATGGTTATCATGTGAATAAGTGTCAAGATAAAGGTCCACAAAGAATAAAGAACAGGGATTCTATCCATAATTTTTATTGATAAAAAATTATGCTTTTCAAAATTAATTTTATTTAAAGGAAAAGAGACAGAGAATCTTCCAGCTGCTGATATACTCCCCAGTGACTGCAATGGCCAGGGCTGAGCCAAGCCAGAAACAGAAACCAGGAGCTTCATCCATGTCTCCTATGTGTATTCATGGGTCCAGACACATGAACTTTTCTCGGCTTTGTTCTCAGAGATATCAACAAGGAGCTGGATCAGAAATGGAACAGCTAGGACATGAACCAGCACCCATCTGAGATGCTGGCATCCTAGATGGTGCCTTTAGCACAGTGACAGCCCCTAAAATTATGCTTCTATCCAAAAATGACTTTTCATGCTTTCAAACTTTTAATTCTATTCTTTTAGTCACTTCCACATGGGTATGGGACAATGGATGTATGTATTAATCATATTTATGACTATTATCTAGAACAGTGGTCAATAAAGGTCACAGTTGTTATTGTTTTATATAAGTATGTGTGCCTAAATGTGGCACTTAAACCATGTGAAGTAAACATTTAAGTGGCATTAAATACATCATACTGCTTTGCAACCATCACCAGCATCCCTCTAAAGAATTATTTTTATGTTTTTCGTTACATGCCCTACAAATAACTGCTCTACTTTTTCTGTATGAATTGATCTATGCTAGAGCCTCATATATGTCAAGTAATAACATATTTGTTTTCTTATTATTGGCTTATTTAATGTAGCATAATGTTTATGAGTTTCATTTATGCATTTGTTCACATGTTCTTGTTAAAGCTCAGTAGTTTTTTTCATCATGAAACTAAGATACTATTTAATAAAACTTTCTCACTTCAGTCTTTTGTGCAAAACACAAAGCCACACACGAAGAGCAACTTGTTTCCTACCTTGTTTGCTACCTTGTTTTTTCCCTGTTGGAGCTCTCTCTCCCTAAGTCATCAACTGTTCTCTGTGAGACAGGTACCTGGAATGTCAGGCTCTTATCACTCACAGATTCACTATCTTTCATAATCTGCACAGGATTCTGAGAGGGGGGTATCTTTCCCATGTCTGAGTGCTTAAGAGCAGCATGGCATGCCAACTCTAGCCAAAGGAAAGACACGCACAGCACTGCTGCCATAACAAAGCAAATTCCTAGCACCTCTGCTGTTGATGGCATTTTGAGGAGGTTTCCCTTCGTAGACAAACAGATAGTGGTGTATCAGATCATATGTATGTCCTGTGCTTAGTGGGGGACTTCCTTGATTCGTTAGGTCAAGACCATATGCCCACACGGTGTCTTTGGAGCGTCTTCTCTCCCAAGTGAGGGAAGATGACTTTCTCTGAAGGGAGTATTTGGTATTTATTCCCATTGCATTGATTTTGGCTCATTTATTTTTTGTTAATGAATTAATTCATCTAACATTATGTGTCAAATTCCCTCCAAATTCTGCATTCTTTTCATAAAGACAAGAAACCCATGTCTGTTTTGTTCCTGAGACCTCAACATCTGAGATAGGATCCAGCCTATATTAAGCAACAATGGCTCATCTCATCATGTTAAATATTTACCAAACAATCATGGAAAAGACAACATCTTCATTCAAATCTGTTTTCTTTTTTTCATTTTTTAAAGATTTTATTTATTTTGGAAGGTAGAATTGCAGAGAGAGAGAGGGAGAGATATAAAGGGCTTCCAATTGCTGATTCACTCATGAAACAACTGCAATGATTGGAGTTAGGCTAATCTGAAAATAGGAGCAAGGAGCTTCTTCCCAGTCTCCCATGTAGGTACAGGGGACCAAGCATTTGGGACATCTGCTTTCCCAGGCACATCATCAGGTAGCTGCTGCGACTTGGGCCAGAGGCAATATTGGATGCCAGTGCTTCAGCTTTTAACATGTTCATGTACATTTTTCCTTGCAAGCTCTGGGAAGGCTGATAATGCCATTTTCTTATTAGCTACACTTTCCTGATTCCCACTTCAAGATGCCTAGTAAATGGGGGATGTGTACATTGTGTGTATGCACATGTGTGTGTGTATTATTTCTCTCACCATTTACAAAATTCAGTGAAATACACACATACTGTCTTGAATTTACTCTTGGGGAAATGGGTTTTATTTGAGAAAAGAGAAACTCAAAAATAACTTTTTTTGATGGGAAAAATAGAGAAGGTAGCAGGCCTTCTGTATCTAATCTTCAGAAATTATGAAAAAGGCTTTTTTACTGATTGGAAAGGGAGAGTGACATAAAGAGGAGGGGAAAAAGGGCCATCTATAGCCTGGTTCACTCCTCAAATACCCACAACATCCATGGTTTGCTCACATTGAAGTCAAGAGTTAGAAATTGCATATGGTATTCTGATGGGGGTGTCAGGAAACCGAGTACTTGGATCATCACTGGAAACCTTCAAGGTTAATAACTAAGAAGTTGGATTACAAGCACTGGGTATTTTATTTTATTCTCCCTAAGTACCAATTATTGTAAATGATCTTTGCCCTAACCAATCACACCCTGTTGCCAGGCAGTTTCCAAAGCCATCCAATCACAGCCTGTTGCCAGTCCAGCTGCACTGTCATGTGGTTTCTGAAGCCATCCAATCATGGTCTATTGCCAGGCAGTCTCCATTGTCATGTGGTTTCTGAAGCCATCCAATCACAGCCTGTTGTCAGTCAGGCTCAGCTGTCATGTGGTTTCTGTAGCCATCCAGTCGCACCCTGTTGCCAGGCAGTTTCTGTTGCCAGTGGCCATCTTGGCATGGCCTTCTCATTCCACCACAGCTTGTTTATTTGTTCTTTGCAAAAGATAATGTTTTGGGGAAGGAAGCAAATATTTTACCAACAAATTCCATTGGGATCCCCTACATATTCAGCCATATGACTCCTCACATTCCTACCTCCTGAAGATAGAAACCCTAACATCTGTTAGGGGGAGCTGGGCAATGATCACTCTGGATTCTTCATGCTGAAAAGGGGTTTCTTTGGGAAGGGATGTCAAGACAGGGTTTCAGCAGGAGGTGTCTTCTCAGCAGGAGGTGGCTTTTCCAGAGGAATGCAGTGCCAGCTTGCAGAAACTGCTTCCATTGGATGTTTCATGTTCATGGCCACCTAGAATTTTCCTTTTTTCTAAGTCTGAAGAAAATGAATCTAACAAGCAGTGTAAACTCACAGGATCTAAAGCTGAGGACAGAGTCATTATTTGAGGCCCTAAGAAAAGTGTCTAAATCATGAGCAAGTTTTTTCATTGAGAGGCTAATACAAACTGACAGAAAGGGCTTGAAAACAAACAGGTAGGCTTTCAGGCCTTATCAATTATGAGGCTCAGACCTATCTATATCTCTTTACATGTGGTACATCATAAAGGGGGTACCCTGTTGACTTCCATTACCTAGCTGGCTGGGGAGGAGAGCTGGCTCAAGGAGAAAGTAGGCAGCTTTCTAAAAGGAAAACATTTTTAGTTAATATACAGTTCTGCCTGCAATGTTGTTGACCTTACTTGACCATCCCCCCAACAGCAGTTGTTACTTTGGAAGCTGGGCTGAGTGGAGGGCTTTTCAGCTTCAAGAGACTAAGGCCTGTGGCTCTGACCTGAAGCCCTTCGACTCCAGGGCAGGTCAGTTTCCAGTGACCCAACTCTTGGCTGGCATAGCTGCCAGGGCTTTTCATAAGCTGACTTCTGCTGAAGCCCTGGCTTTCCACATCAAAAACCAATGTAGTGGACTGGCCTGTTGGGTCTCTTTGGTGGGAAATTACTGTGTAAAGCAGCCATTAATTGGCCTGCCACTTATCTTTATATTGCTTCTGCAGCCTAGCTTCCTCTTGGGTTTTGTTAACATAGACCAAATTGAATCATTGATACAAAATGATTACTCAAATGCTTTAAAATAAGCACATATTTAAACAACGCATAGCTCTTAGTTAAAAAAAATCAACTGTTTTTAAACAATTAGAACTTAACAGAGACATTAAGAGAACACAATACATTACTTCAACAGAACACAAAATATATTTTTGTTCATCCAAAGAATCGCAAATAAAACAAAATAGTTAGCACATGGAATTATAAGAAAGCTTGGAACAATTTTAACAGAGTTAGAACTAAGGAAGAGAAAATAGTGTACTGGAGCTAGTTAGAAAACTGACAGAGTCACTAATTTAAAAAAAAAAAAACTATTAAAAAATATAAAAGGCAGTTTTAAAAATAGATTTTAGGGCCAGTGCCACAGCTCTCTAGGCTAATCCTCTGCCTGCGGCACTGGCACTCCAGGTTCTAGTCCCAGTTGGGGCACCTGATACTAGTCCCAGTTGGACCTATTCCAGTCCAGCTCTCTGCTGTGGCCCGGGATGGCAGCGGAGGATGGCCCAGGTGCTTGGGTCCCTGCACCCAGATGGGAGACTGGGAGGAAGCACCTGGCTCCTGGCTTCAGATTGGTGCACTGCTGGTTGTATCGGCCATAAGGGGAGTGAAC